AGAGTTTATCTCAGTATAGTTTACAGCGCTTCGAAAGTTTCAACGATTGCTAAGAGCAATAGTATGTACAAAATGTTTTATAAGGTGTGCCAAAAACGGCGGCGCTTCGCGCTGCCGTTTTTGTGATATTTGTGAAAAAAAACACAGGGTGTGTGTGTGTGTTCAAACACCCCCCCCCCCCAGCAGGGCGCGGGCTAAACACCGATGATGTACCGTTATGTTAAACGCCATGCGATTGACTAACCGGCGCCGCACTGTAGGCCGGCAGCCCGAAAAAGCGCTAGAAATTCCCCCAAACTGACTGTCCGCAATATGAACAAAATAGGTATCATTTAATCCCAAATTGATCGAAGAATGCGATTCCGATGCCATTTTTGCCCTAAGGGCGAAATTGAGGTGGTCAGTTGTCACCAAACACAAGACTATTTAGACTCGCTAGTGGCCACCACATTTGCCGATTTTAATGCTAATCTTTAGTTGATATTTACTAGTTGACCAGTTGTCGTTTTGAACGCAATTTTCTGTCAGACTAGTTCAGGGCACTGTTGTTTACTGTACCAACAACATTCTTACATATTGCATCGCTTTTCTGCAAGATAAGCTAGCTTTTTGCAAGCAGCTGCAAGACCTAAATAAAAATCATATCTAAATTTTTAAATAGACTTTTATAAAAACGTTATTTCGAGCGGCTAAAAATAAACATCTTATACAAGCCGCTGATTACTCATCTTTCGTTCCATATAGGTGCTTTGCTGCTTTTCCCTGCTACTTTTCGAGATATGCGCCAGTAAACCACATGATGTAGGGGCAATTGTCACCTCGCCGCTCTACTGAATGCCCGGCGCTCTTTATAGCGCTGGAAGTTGTGAAAAACTAACGCTTATAATCTGAATAAAATCTACGTCCCTGAGCTCAGAATTGATCAACGCACACAATGCTGTCAAAATTTTTGGGCCAAACTAAAAAATTCAGTCATTATTAACCCCCAAACACAAGTAAGTGATAATCAACAACAACTTGCTCTTAAGTTAGACTTTTTGAGAAATGTTATTTCGAGCCACTAAAAATGACCGTGCCATACAAACCACTAATCATCTTTCTGTCATGCCCTACTCGCAATTTTTGCTAATGCCTGCTACTCTTCGAGGTCACGTGACATCACCATTAAAAGTAAATGGGGAGATAAGGAAGCTGTTGTTTTTGCGCATGGAATGATCTCAAACTATCTCAAGCACACGGAATCGTGATTTTATGCACTCCTTGCAAGATCCGATGCTTTACTTTTGCATTTTTGACCTTCCGTGACGTCATTTATGACGTCACTACGGTCATAGGAGTTTCTTGTTAATAACTCATGATCAAATTGAGCCAGCGACTCGGGAAAGCCAGCAATGGACTCGGGAAGACCTCCTGAATCGAATGATATGCAATACGACCTCATTCGATTAAGTTCGTGGCCTGATGGGCTCTGACCTGACCTTGACTCGAGGTCAACACCTTAAAGGGACCCTCCCACCTTCAAAAAAGTTAATGAATTGGCACGAAAGTGATGTCGCTCGGTTCAGAAAGAGCGAAAACGAATATCTACCAAATTTCATCGAAAAATATTCACCGGTTTTCAAGATATTTGACTTTTACTTTTGTTTACGTTTTGGGATCTCCGCTGTTCCTAGCGACTTTATTTGAAAGTGCGGCATTTGTTGCGCGCAAAGCAGCATATACCACCGCGTGCTACCAAACGTTTTAGTAAAAGATTTAAAAATCGTTAGATCTCCGCTGACGTCACAAATTCTAAGGGGGCATACCAATGCACTAGCCCCTTAGAATCCGAAAACTGCAAGTTTGAAATTCTTTATCTCCGAATTAAAGCATTTGTCGATGTTGTGAGTGCCCAAACCGGTATTTGCAGGCCATGGCCACCAATTTGGCTATCTCAACTCAAAACTAATGTTAAGGTGGGAGTGTCCCTTTAAGTTGACCTCACCCGAACAAAAAGTATACCATTCGACGCGCCTGGGGCCGATTCGAGATGGCGCACTAGGAAGCTAGTAAGACTAGGCGGCCAAGTGACACTTGATGGTAGTGACACTAAGCCGCATTTTACACCAATCGGCTAGTGGCTCAGCGCAAACCGAAATCGTCTAGTGACACTTGAAATCAAGTGTCACTAGGGCCTTAGTGCGCCAACGCGAATCGGCTGCTGAGCCAGGCAAACACGATGGTGCCAAAATCGCTGCTCTGCGGCCATTTTATGCGAAATTATTTACCAAAAACCAAACCCTACCTTGGGCTTTTTGACTTCACCTCAGAGGTTACCGGTTGACATGGGACCTTAAAATCGGGTATCAATCGTTCCGTCTTGAAACGGTGCACACGCTTGTTTTTTCCGCGAGGCTCTAGCTCCACTAGGGGCGAAACGGCGAAAAGGGGTCGTACCAACCCTCCCCCCACGGCCGGCCGAGGGGGTTGGGGGGTCCGACAATAGGTCCGGCGAGGGTTAAGCAGCCCCACTTCGTTTTTAGCATGTTTGCTTGTCGCTGAGATCAACAACTCAATCACAAATAATTTCTAGCACTTTTCCGGGCCCCCGGCCCAGTGTGCGCCGGGCCGGTGCTCGGCGCCACCTGCACTGGGGGGGGGGGAGTGGGGTGTTTGAACACCCCCCTTCTCACTCGGCTCCTGGGCCACGTAGCGACACGCCGTAGACGGCGTTCGAAAGAGCGGCAGAAGTCAGGTCAACAGAGGTCACCAAAGGTAAAATTTCGCCACTTTCCAGGTCAAACTTCGATAATTTCGACAAACCGGCGCATAGATTAGGAACGGTTTAGCGTGCAGGGGCCAAAAGCTGCCAGAATAGGTAGATGGTTTTTGCGGGAACTGTTTTTCTGCAATACCTTTTGACTCAAAACATGCACGAGCTTACTTTCAGCAGCATCGTGTTCCTCTCGTCAAGGCGACGCATCGAAAGAACTATAAGTTGACCTCAAAAGTTCAACTTGAAAAATTTACTTTAGGTCAAGGTCATGACCTCATTACAAGGTCATGACCTCAGGTCAATGTCATGACCTGACCAGAAAAGGTCATGCTGCATCAGTCGATCCGTATTGTCGAGCCAAACACATACATATAAGGTTTTTTTTCATCGCTCTAGCATGTCTCTGTCAAAAGTTATTTGCGAAAAACTGTAGGATACCATTCGTGACCTGAGATGACCTCAGGGACATAAAGAGGGGTCACGGGTACCATTTTCCGATTCAGTTTGTCATGTCTACTTGTAATTGGATGTTTGAAAGTGATTAGAATGACGTTCGGCCAAAAGAGGCGCCTTTCAAGTTTCTCGCATTGACTTATAATGGAGAGGTCGCAAAATTGAACTGACCTTAGGTCACCGATGTCGAAGTTCCGAGAGATACATTTTGTGTATCATTATTATAATTATTGTATAGGTACATTATGTGTATTGTGTATACCGTTGTTTTATCAGTTGCTCAAAGTTGCAAAGTGATCAGTCACTCGGTGTAGCTGTGACAGGCATTGAAACTTTTAATGTAGTAAGGTCACTTGACGTGATATGGTGACCTGACCTTGGATGACTTTGGTCTGAAGTTTTCACAGAAGGTGTAGAAAAGATGTATGATAAGATGTGCAAAACACGGCGGCACTCTGGGCCGCCGTTTTTTTTTTTTTAGATATTCGCGAGAAACCGGAGGGGTTGTTTATACAGTCCCCCCCGCAGTGCGTGGGTAGGGGTATGTGATCAAGGATGAAGGTGTTACATACCTATGCACGTTTGCCTCATTTACCTACATATGCACACCCGCCAATATAATAGATTTCTCACGGTCTTGATGCCCGCTTCTCCTCGTCGCCTGCTCGGCACCGGTCCACGCGGCACCCGCAGCGTCGATAGTCGGCCGGTGCAGCGTTCAGAGGTATCGTGTTCCCTCCTGCTCGGAACCATTCCCCTCGGCACCCTCCGACCGCCCGCAGCGTCGATAGCCGGCCGGTGCAGCGTCCAGAGGTATCGTGTTTCTAAGGGACTTAGTGGCATTCCACTCTATTTCCTGGTGGCTTCCAAAAAACCACTGCCACAGCACCATTACCCCATCTGGTGGCTGACTTGTTAAATATCAATTCACCCGGCGTCAACCAGAGGCATTTTGCACCTTCCGATTTTAGACGATGCGATTTTGTATGATACGATCATCTCGTTTTGTAGGTTGCAATTTTGTATGATACGCGTTTGTTTGATCTGCCATTGTACGTTCCAATTTTGTACGTTCTGATCATTGTTTGATTTGCCATTGTACGCTTTACCCATTGGACGGTTAACTTTTGTACGTTGGGATTTTGTACGCTGCGCTTTTGTGCGTTTGGGCTGTCCCCTACTTGGCCTGTTTTGTAGGTTTTGCGCGTTGTATGTTGCGATTTTGTATATTTTGAGGATTGTACGCTGCGCTTTTGTATGCTTTGATAGCCACCCTTTCGACCGAACATCGCGCGTGCATTTGTAGATATGACGCCTCCGTAATTGACTACGGTGACGCGGGTGTCATTTTCGGCGTGAGAAAGCGACGGGGAAGTGCTGGGAAAGATGGTGTTGGGATGGTAAAACGAAGAGGTGGTTGTTGAGAAAAATATGGGAGTTCTACTGATCTAGCAACGCGAGGCTGTGAATGGAACTAAGGATGCGTGGGTAAAGAACCGGTGGCGTCAAGCTCCGATAAACTTAATCGTTGCTTTGGGTGACTATTTAGTCAGTGAACTGTGCCAGACTGTAACGATACAAATACGTCACCAATATGGAACATTCAGGGATGCATAGCAAGAGCTGGAACTACCGGAGACTAGTGTATGTTTTGACGGAGCCCGTACCCGGAATGTCCATCCTAAGCAAAAGCTCTAATTGCCTTTTTTGTCATCGCATCCCTTGCCCAAACGAAACTCCACCTTCTTTCTGCTTCACCTCCCATCTGACGGTCAACACGGTCGATTTTCAGGTGACTCTGGCGTTGTTTTTCGCCCCTATCGGCATCATGGGCGTAACGTACGCGCTCATCATCTGGAGGCTATGGGTATCTGCTGTACCTGATATAGGAGGCACGTCCCGGGTGCACTCCCAGCATAACGCCAAGAAAAAGGTAAGCCACTAACAAAAAAAAAGAAGAAAAAAAGTCGAATGTATGCATCTACAGATGTGTGAAGATAAATTGTAACGCAGGTATCTCATTTAGGGAGGTGGGCTGGTTAAGTTTTGAAATAAACAAGGGGATCTTACTTGAAAGGTGTAATGACAATGCATGGTATAATAAGGAAAGGCGTCGTTAATGTCTTGAACGTCATTGGGGAGAGAAAAGTGACGTCTACACTCTACAGTACGAATAACGTCATAAGCTATGTTACAGGCAAAGTGAAAACTCGGGCATTTTGCAAAATGCCTAGGCAATTTGCAAAATGCCTGACACGCCAGGCATTTTGCAAAATGCCCAGGCAGTTTGCAAACTGCCTGACCCACCAGGCATTTTGCAAACTGCCTAGGCATTTTACAAAATGCCTGACCCGCCAGGCATTTTGCAAAATGCCTGGGTTTCCATATATTCCACCGCTTTTGTTGACTACAGGCGTTGATCATAAACGTTCCACTGTGACTGACCCCACAACACATTTCACATGTTTTGTGGGCACATGTGACACATTCCACGGTCACGAATACAGGGTGTCACGAAATTGTTGCGGGATGTTGTACTTGTGTCCCGAAATGTATTGCATCGTAGTTGCGTCAGTGTTCTCCAGCACCTCGCTGACAAGTTATCAGCGGCCACGTGGTCTGTCCCCGCGTCACCTGGTGAAGCTCAAATAGGCCTCTGTAGACCATCATGCCTCAAACGAGAATCCCCAGTCCCCAGTGGGTGCTTCACCGTCTCGGCGGTGCAGCGCCTCTGAGCTGCTGTTGACCCAGAACTGCTTGTCGGGACGGTTCGTGACTAAGAAGAGCTCTAATAGCCGTTTTCACGACGGGCTATCCGGCGAGTGCACCTAATTTGACCAAATCTGCACATAATCTCTTTTACAGCAAATATCTTTATTTTATGAATTTATTTCAGTGTTTTAACCGATGATGCTCTCTGATAATGTGACAAAGGAGGCATATAAGCAATTAGTACAACCCTAGCTGATGGCTACTAAGAGACACACTGAACCTAATTTGACCAAATATGCACCTAATCTGCACCAGATGTGAACCAAATGTGTACCAGATGGCCGTCGTGAAAACGGCTAATATTGCCTCACGGACTCATCATTGAAAAGTCTGAATCTCTAGTCCTGAATGGTCCAGATTTGGTGGGTTTTGTCTAAATCCAGCTGCATCACTTATGGATGACGGTAAGTCAGGGTTGCAGCCTGGGGTTGAGCGGCTTCAGCTTCAGGGTAAAATCTTCAGATACCGAGGGATGGCCGATTTAGGTGCCGAGTGCCCTGGTCCAGATGCCCTGGTGCCGGATCCGTTCAAATTACATCCATTCAGCACTCAGGAGGGGCATGGAGGGACAAGACCGCGCCAACCGCGTATCAAGTTCGTGACATTCTGTATACCTACGTCTTGCGTCAATTCTGTCGAGATGGAGCCAACGCTGAATGGACTTGAGCCACCGTCTCCGTACCTTTCGTACCTATATACGGAGTTGTAGCCGTATGTATAAAAGCTGCGATGTCCAGTATTCTGCCCCGGTGGGCAGCTGTTCCGGCAGAGACGATTGATAATGTACCTACCTAAACGCGTAACAATCACATTTTCGTAAATTGGAGGAGTATTCTTGTCTGATCAATATTCACCCATAGTATTTTCAAAAAGCCACCAAGAGCTCCTAGAAACAGTACAATCATTGTACCGAGCGCGTGTTTATCCACGAAACCACGCCCGGTGCTCGGCACCCGACGGACGCTGGGGCTCAGTGACCTGAACTCGGCGGCGCTACCCGGAGAACGCAGTGTCCCCTCACTTGGTGCGCATTGACAGCGATTAACTTTTGTAAGCGGCAGTTACAAATGATGCTTACCTATACATCGTCGCTAGTGCGAGTTTGATGTCAGGCATTTTGCAAAATGCCTGGAAAAATATTTCAGGCAGTTTGTAAAATGCCTGGTAGGTCAGGCAGTTTGCAAACTGCCTGGGCATTTTGCAAAATGCCTGGCCGGTCAGGCATTTTGCAAATTGCCTAGGCATTTTGCAAAATGCCCGAGTTTTCACTTTGCCTGTAACAGCTATACATATTCATCAATATGGAAGGATATCTGCCACTGCCATGCATTTC